GTAGTAGGTACGTATCTATGTCACTTGTAGGTTTGTAGTAGGTACGTATCTATATTACTTGTAGGTTTGTAGTAGGAACGTATCTATATTACTTGTAGGTTTGTAGTAGGTACGTATCTATGTCACTTGTAGGTTTGTAGTAGGTAAGTATCTATGTCACTTGTAGGTTTGTAGTGGGTACGTATCTATGTTACTTGTAGGTTTGTAGTAGGTACATATCTATATTACTTGTAGGTTTGTAGTAGGTACGTATCTATGTCACTTGTAGGTTTGTAGTAGGTACGTATCTATGTCACTTGTAGGTTTGTAGTAGGTACGTATCTATGTCACTTGTAGGTTTGTAGTGGGTACGTATCTATGTCACTTGTAGGTTTGTAGTGGGTACGTATCTATGTCACTTGTAGGTTTGTAGTAGGTACGTATCTATATTGCTTGTAGGTTTGTAGTAGGAACGTATCTATATTACTTGTAGGTTTGTAGTAGGTATGTATTTATATTACTTGTAGGTATTAATGTGCTTTATTTCAGTAACATTTTAAAGAAGAGAAGTATTATTAATGTGCTTTATTTCAGTAACATTTTAAGGAAAAGAAGTATTATTAATGTGCTTTATTTCAGTAACATTTTAAGGAAGTGAAGTATTATTAATGTGTTTTTTTTCAGTAACATTTTAAGGAAAAGAAGTATTATTAATGTGCTTTATTTCAGTAACATTTTGAGGAAGAGAAGTATTATTTCATAGAGAAATTTGGAAATCACATTTTCGTTAAATTACCCTTTTCTTTTATGTGTAACATAATTTCCAACCAAAATCTTCAAAACTTCTTATTTTAGGGACCTTTCACGCCTTTCTTGACTGAACTAATGTATCAAAACTTGAGACACCTGGTGGCAGATTATGCAGATAGAGAAGATACAGGCAGCATCCATTATCTTCTGTTCCCACAACCAGAGTGAGTGTGATTGAAATGATACATTTTTTTTTAATGGCAATTTTAAATCAATAGAAAGTTTTGTTGTAAAAGTCCAAAATAAAGATATAAATGCAGGTACTAGCAGTATTTATTTGTTTTGTGGTTGAATCATTTTGTACAAATGTTATGTAACAGATAAAAAAAAAAAAAGATAAATTTTTCAGATCACCGAGTTAAACAGTGTGGAGGAGTTTTTGTTTAAATAAAATTGAAAATTGTGTTCTTATAAACAGCTGGAGTTAGGCTTTTGTTACTACAGATACATAGAATATGCTTTTAGTTATTTTTAAAGCTGTGATGAATGGTTCAGAAACCTAAAATTAGTAATGTGTTGTTCTTGTAACAGTGAGTTTATAGATATTTTTATTGATATGTAAAAGGAATTTCATGCTTTGCTCTTCAACAAAAAAAGAGATATATTTAACAGTTCTTCCAGTGATGTTCTTTTTTTATTGTTACTTCATGAAACATTTATATTACAAAGTTATCTGTAATAATTCCGATCCACACCTAACAAAGTACTAATATGTAACTGACACGTTTATTTTATAAAGAGTACTAGGTTTATTATAAAGAGTAAACCAGCTATAATAAGAAATAGTTTCCATCAAGTGATATAGGCATCTTAAGAAGAACAATTAGTTCTGACTTTGTTCAATAAGTACAAACAAAAAATATCTAAAGTGAACGTTGTTTTTATAGCCTAAATGATATGGCTAGCTGTAACATCAAAGTTTAACAGTATCCTCTAGATTGCACTTCAACAAATATAACAGAGAGCTGATTAGACAGAAAAGTTGATAAATATTTGTAATAAACTCGTGGTTTTTTGTTGATGCTGACTTGATCACTAGGTACAACTAAGTTTACTAGTTACTGCAACGAGACAACATTACTTTATAATGTAACAAGTTAAGTGTTGAGATCACTAGGTACAGCTAAGTTTACTAGTTACTGCAACCAGACAACATTACTTTATAATGTAACAAGTTAAGTGTTGAGATCACCAGGCACAACTAAGTTTACTAGTGTTACTACAGCCAGGCAACATTACTTTATAATGTAACAAGTTAAGTGTTGAGATCACTAGGTACAGCTAAGTTTACTACTGTTACTACAGCCAGGCAACATTACTTTATAATGTAACAAGTTAAGTGTTGAGATCACTAGGTACAGCTAAGTCTACTACTGTAACTACAGCCAGGCAACATTACTTTGAACTTGTTACATTAGTAAACTTAGCTGTACCTAGTGATCTCAACACTTTGCTGTTACTATAACCAGAAAACTTTATAGTGTAACAAGTTAAGTGTTGAGATCACCAGGTACAACTAAGTTTACTAGTTACTGCAACCAGACAACATTACTTTATAATGTAACAAGTTGAGATCACTAGGTACAGCTAAGTTTACTACTGTAACTACAGCCAGACAACATTACTTTATAATTTAATAAGTGTTGATCACTAGGTACAACTAAGTTTACTGCTGTTAGTACAGCCAGGCAACATTACTTTATAATTTAATAAGTGTTGATCACTAGGTACAACTAAGTTTACTGCTGTTAGTACAGCCAGGCAACATTACTTTGTAATGTAACAAGTTAAGTGTTGAGATCACTAGGTACAGCTAAGTTTACTACTGTTACTACAGCCAGGCAACATTACAAGATGTGGACTCAGAGAAACTGCTAAGTTAACTTCAATCTTGTATTTCAGAGAAGAGCTAATCAACAGAGAAGTGGAACGAAGAGTGGCTAGAATGCAGACAGTGGTAGAAGCTGGCCGGCTTGTTAGAGATAGGAAAACCTTACCCCTGAAAGTTAGTTGCTATCCATATTAATATCTAAACATACAAAGGAAAGGAATATATTTAAAACAGAAAGTACTCTTAAATTTTTGTGGACATTATAAAGTTAAAATTATTTATGATTTCTCAAATTAGGTCATATCTGTTTCGATAAAAGTGAAGTTATTAAAATGGTTACAGTAAAATTTTTATTGTTATTGTCTAGAAAGAGTCAATTATACAACAATTTGAAATATTTACATTCCTTATGACACAGTTATTTCTTTAAACAAACTCTTCTCATGAACAATTTGGGTTATAAACGTACGTGTTACAGTACCCATTTAATGAACTGTTTGTGTTATAAACCTACGTGTTACAGTACCCACTTAATGAACTGTTTTTGTTATAAACCTACATGCTACAGTACCCACTTAATGAACAATTTGGGTTATAAACCTGCACGTTACAGTACCCATTTAATGACCTGTTTGTGTTATAAACCTGCACGTTACAGTACCCATTTAATGACCTGTTTGTGTTATAAACCTATGTGTTACAGTACCCACTTAATGAAC